TAGCATTATGAGGAGATGATATGTTCTAAAGAGATTCATTTTCTATAAAATGTATGCCTTTTATACAAAACTTTCCTACTTTGGGCTGGGATAAGGGAGATAGTAACGTAAAATAAAAAAAAAAAACCCACCATTATTCTATGCCAATATTTACTTCCATGCCAATCCCTACTTTTGTTATGATAGAGTTATGGGGACGCTGGGTAAAAAGATTAGCAATAGAAGAGGAAGTTACTGTGGAAGGAGGTTTCTTCAGCACCCATTGCCCTTTCCTTGATCCCCACTCTTAGGAAAACTCAATTCAATACGTGCATTTGACCCTAAGGTACTTGTACCTCAGCACATTACTGAATTGCTGCTTCAGGGTGCAGCCCCATTTTGTTTCCAACTGAGAACATATACCTTCAGAACAGTTCTAAACAGATTCCCCACTACCATGAACTTCCTGTTCTTCAGATGGAATTATAAGGCCTCAGAATTCAGGGAAACAGAAAACCCAACAGCATTCTTACAATAGGGCAGAATTCATTGAATCTAATTGAATCAGATGTGTGTTAAGCAGGGATGACAGCCATTGTGGTTAGGTAAAAAAAAAAATGAGCCCCAAATTCATCCAAGAAAAAGAAATCACCCCAGCAAGATTCCAGATGTCCCCAGTGAAGAGCCCGCACACAGCCTCAGTGAGACACAGAGGAGCCTTCCCAGCTGCTTTTCTAAAGAAGCCTGGACGGGCTTGGACTCTTTCGCCATGTTGGCCAGTATGAGTCTGGAACCCGGCCCTGTACCAGATGAAATATCTCGATCCTGCCAACTGCTTTTTGGCTTTGAGCAGCTGTAGGAGCAGCTGGTTTTACAACACAGAGTGGATCTTTGTTCTGAGGTAGAAGACTTCTACTTTTTGTGCAAAACTTAGAAGTTTGTGTTTTATACAACTACCTGTGTTGTGCTTGCTATTCATGCATCTCGCAAATAACCAAATGATCTATATAATTATCCAAGGGAAATCTTCCTGCAACAATAAAAGTCAAGTTTACCCAATTCTTTGCTTTCAGTTAGAAACTAAAGAGTTATGAGATAAGAGATCAATTATCCCTGAACCAGTATAATTAAAAATCACCTGAATTCCAGGGATCATAGATTGGATATAAGGATTTACTCCTGCTCCCTCCTGATATTCCAGTAGAGGGGTTTTATTTTAAAGACGTACTACTGCTAGGATAGTAAGAACATGAGAGGAGACAACAATAACAAAATTTCAGAAGCTGGCAAGTAGCAGAGCTGAATCTTGGCAGTGGAGAAAGCCAAGACCAATCCAATTTATACCACAGAATTCCCAAAAGGCCCTGGTGGCATTACTGGAAGCATGGAACAATGGAAAGGATGAGTTAAAATAAAGACGCTCTGTTGAACTTCTTTCAGGAAATATTAATAGCTAGATTCCTCAGACCATTCACCTACTCCATAAAGCTGAGTGATTGCTCCTCTCCCATCCTGGCAGAAGATACATATCTGAAGATACATTCTCTATACAGTATAAAATATAAGTATCTGGATAAGGCATTCAGTACAACTTTTGGGGGAAGGAGTACTGTAATGAAAACTAGGATTGGGTGAACACATGCGCCCTGAGATATTTACCCAACACTTTCCCTCCATTTGGTTCCCAAAAAGATGGTAGCAATGCCAAGACCCTCCAGGCAAGTGATTGGAAGATCTCCAGGTGATCTGAATAGCCAAAGAGAAACTGACGCTGGTGGTTCCCCAAGTAAAGAGCTATTAACAGCACCTCAAGTGACGCTATTGCCAATAAGCCCCACTCAGGTGTACCAGGCTCAAATTAACTTTGCCCTCCCCCAAAATTCTTGAATAGAGCAAAGAAGGACCACCTGACATTTAAGGAAAGAGTCTAAAATGAAAGACAGAGTCTAAAACAAACAAACAAAAGTCAATTTGATCACAGGGACACAGTCAGAATTCAGATTGTTGGAAACCCTATAGGACAAATGGCACTGTAACTTCAACAAATAAGTTGTATGGAAAAAAAGGAGAGAGAAATGAGGGGAATCTACAGATTAAAAGAGACATAAAACACATATCAACCAATTGCACTATGTAGAACTTATTTGAGTATTGACTTGCACAATCCAATTGTTTTTTAAAAATGAAATCATCAAAGCAAGTTAAATACTGGTTGGATATTTGATGATATTAAGGAACTATTGTTAATTTTTTAGATATGGCATATTATGGCTTATTATGATTATGTTTTAACAGTCATTATATTTTAGAGAAATATACTGAAATATTTATGGATGAAATTATATGATAGCTGGGATTTGCTTTAAGGCAGTCTGGATGACGGGGCTGACTAAACAATCATGGCAATGGGAAAAAAGGAAGATGGGAATCTTTTATACTATTATCTTCACTTTATATTTAAAATTTTCCATAACAGAGAAAAACTATCATTAGAATCATCACAGAAGACAATGAAATTATAAAACAAAAACAAAATAATATAAAAAAGGAACATTCAAAAATTTTTAAAAGCTCTTGTAAATAAAAAATAATAACAGAAGTAAAACATTCAGTAAAGAGTTGAGAAAATTTTGAGGCCATATCCCAGAAAGTACAGTGGAAAATTACAGAAATGAAAATTTTAAAAAAGAATAAAAAATCAGTGGACTAGTCACATGGTCTAAAATCTTGGTAACAGTTCCTGAAAGAGAGGAAAGAGAAAGAGAAGGAAGGAATTCTTTAACACAATAATGTGAGAAAATGTCCCAGAACTGAAGACCATGAATTTCTAAAAGAAAAGAATGCACAAATTGTCTGACATGATGGATGAAACAGACCCACATCAAGACACATCATTGCGAAACTGCAGAACATTGGGAATAAAGAGATTTGACAAATTTCCAGAAAGTGCAACACAAAAACAAAAACCCTGGCTATATATAAAAGATCCAGAATCAAAAGCATATAGGACGTCACAACAGAAAAAAAACTAGAAAATAATGGAGCAATACCTTCAAAATTCTGAAGGAAAATTATTTCCAATATAGAGTTTCTATATCCAGCCAAACTACCAATTAAAGGTAAAAGTAGAATAAAAATTTTTTCAGACATAAAAGCCTAAACACTTTTATTTTTATTCATCTTTTTAAGCAACAAAAGCAAGGAAGTAATACAGAAAGAGGAAGAAATGGAATACAGGAAACAAGGAATCTAGCAGAGAAGAGAGGTGAAGGGAATTCCCACAACGGTGACAGAGATTTCAAAATAAAAGTATATTCTCTATGCCTCAGTTCCCTTATCTGGGAAACAAGAAACTAGCAATAGTACCTATCTCATAGACTTGTAAGGATTCAGCATAAAACACTGAATGGTACCTGGCACAAAGTAAGAGCAAAAAGAATAGTTATCATTATCAAAGAATTAACTCTTTACCCTATGTTTCCATATAACTACTTGACATATTACAATAACTAAAAAAAAAAAAAAGAAGAAGAAATCCATGTAAAACATTTCTGAACAGAACATATTTGCAGCTTTAGAATAACGAAAAATAGTCACAGAACCATAGGATTTTGGAGGTTGGCAGGGTTCTGACATTTTTCTAGTGCCATTTCCTTGGTTAAAGAGCAGGCAATCGAAGTTCAGAGTGGCTAAGTAACTTGCTTTAAGACTACATAGGTATTTAGAAAAGGAGTTGGGACTAGCAGTCAGGTGTTTCATGTCAATGCACTAAAATTCAGAAGCGCAGCTACACAAGTTGTCTTCAGAGGTTCAGAGTTACACACATACAAAAAAAATCACAATAAAATTATTTTGTCCAAATCTGTTATTTTACCCTAAATCCTGACACTTGGCTCAAGATATACATAAGCAGAAAGGCCACATAGAAAGATCTCAGGGCAATAAAGAAAAGAAGCTGCAGTCGGGTTTACTGAGTTAGACTAACAATAAGGAAAAAAAGATATTGAATTCAGTGTCCTTTATAGAGTTGGTTTAATTCTAGGAAGGACACCTCTAGTGAGTTTACACACAAAAGTAAGGCTACTAATCTCTAGTACTCTGGACTAATACGGTGTAGCGTGGACAGGCATTTCTGATCCCTAAGTAATGGAATGGGATGCAATGCACTTCCATCACAGTTTTCTGAGTCTTTCTAAAGGAATGCACACCATTTAGGATTCATAGCCATTTAGTCACTGCTTCCAAGGATATGATGCTCCTATCAAAATGATCTGGCCGTGAGGAGTACTGAGCAAGGCCAATGGAGAGTGAGTACAGTCAGGGGTGAAAAAGCACGATTCTGGGGAAGAGAATATCCTCCTTGCCTTATCAGGCAAAGCACCACTGATATTCCTTAGACGTTTGAGAGGGTGAGAATTGTCCTAGTATAAATTCTATGATCTGTCTTCATCTCGTTCTAACTGAAAATAAGCCCTCCATACACTGGCAGAATGTCTCATTCAACAGTTTGAGATGAATTTATTTCAAAAGAAAACTGCCCATTTTCATTTCACTGAATCTCAGAGGAAAAGTACATGCTAATTTCTCATCTTTAAAATACTAGAAACTTCAATGCTTCTTGAACATTTATTACAAACAAATTTGTAATTACTTTTAGATACAGTACATATTCCATAGCAATCCAAATACCACAGAGGTGACTGGCTGGATTAAACACTTCTTAATAGTTCAACCATTTAGCTGAGATTTTTCAAATCTTTTAATCCTTTTTTACAAATGCTTATTTTGGTATTCTTGATTAATAAAAAGATTTCCTCCTTCCCCTTTCTTGCAAACATTAGGTGCATCTTGGAAAATCATTCAAACAAACAATACAAACGTATGTACTGCTCACTTAGCCAAGTTAGTAAAAACAGAAGAAACAAAAAACTAGAAATATTTCCAATTTCTTCTGTGCATAAACAGAAACATAGAGAAACTACAGTTTAAAAATAGAGAGTACTGCAATTGTTAACACTCACAGAAAGAGCAGGATTCCGGTGTTCGCCAGGGCGAAGGCAAGTCCCAAGATCCCGCTGCCCATGATGGCGTTGCTTAGGTTAAAGACAGACATACCTAAGGAGGTTGTGCCTGGGATCTAAACAGAGAGACAAACATCCACACTAAGCAAATAGTCCCAAATAAATTCATCACGCCAAAACCTTTGAAGCACTTTCAGGAACCAACACAGAATTGAATTCAAGAAATCCTTCCTCAGTGGTCTAGTTTTCTTTAATGGAGTTCCAGAGAAAATACATAGGACCTGAGGAACATCCTGGTACTACACTACATGAATTAAAAACATCTGCCCTAGGCCAGCTGAGTGGTACTTGGTTAAGAGCTGGCTTGGGATGCCAGAAGGCCCCGGTTCGGATCCCACATATGAGGGCCAGTGACACTGCCCTCTACAGCTAAGATGCTGAACAACAGCTCAACCTG